CATGGAACCCTTCTCCACTTCGGTCTTCAAAGTTCTCATTTGAATATTTGCTACTACCACCAAGATCTGCACCGGGACCCGCTTCACCTAGGCTGACGCTCCAGGCATCGCAGCAGGCCCCGCACCCTCCTACTCGTCGCGGCGTCAGAATCGCCGCGACGACCGAGCATAGGTCGCGCGCTTCAGTGCCATCCATTTTCGGGGCTGATTGATTCGGCAGGWGAGTTGTTACACACTCCTTAGCGGATTTCGACTTCCATGACCACCGTCCTGCTCTCTGTATCAATCAACACCCTGTGTGGTGTCTGGGTTAGCGCGCAGTTTGGCACTGTAGCTCGACTTTCGGTTCATCCCGCATCGCCARTTCTGCTTACCAAAAATGGCCCACTTGGAGCTTTCATTGATCCTCGGGGTTCGCTTAAGCAACCCCGAAATCTTACCTATTTAAAGTTTGAGAATAGGTCGAGGGTGTTCAACCCCCGAGGCCGCTAATCATTCGCTTTACCCGATAAAACTGTTCAACAGCTCCAGCTATCCTGAGGGAAACTTTGGAGGGAACCAACTACTAGACGATTCGATTAGTCTTTCGCCCTTATACCCAAGTCCGACGAACGATTTGCACTTTAGTATCGCTGCGAGCGTCCACCAGAGTTTCCTCCGGCCTCGCCCTGCTCAGGCATAGTTCACCATCTTTCGGGTCCCAACGAAGATGCTCACACTCAAACCTCTCACAACATATCGTGGTTGGCGGACGGTGCACCCGCAGAGGGTTCCCGCCACTAAGGTTTCTTCCGCCTCGTGGGCTAATCACTCACCGGCTCGCATGCACGGTGAACTCCTCGGTCCATGTTTCAAGACGGGCAAGATAGAGGAATTTCGCCAGCATCCCGAACACGCAGGAACCCGAACGGGCCTGCTGAAAGAGGCGCGTGCTCAAGGTCCTCGACTGCCGTGACGACCACCCGTGGGGGGTTTCAATCGCTCCCCACCGCAATGTCGGTCACAGCAGCCCATGTTGGCAGGCACCCCATGTCCAACAAGGGGGGCGACAACACACTCGCCGTCCACCCTTGCCCAGACGGGAGCGCACGACTTCCCCTCCATCCGCTTCTCGCTCGGCAATTTCAAGCACTCTTTAACTCTCTTTTCAAAGTTCTTTTCATCCTTCCCTCGHGGTACTTCTTCGCTATCGGTCCCTCTCACATATTTAGCCCTGGATGGGACTTACGACCCAATTGGGGCTGCATTCCCAAGCAACCTAACTCTTGGACAACACCTCGTTGCGCAGCAGGGCCCGGCGGTCGACGGGGCTGTCACCCTCTTCGGTGTCCCCTTCCAAGGAACCTGCACACGGCCCGCTGCAGAGGTTGCCTCTCAGGACTACAATTCAGGGAGCAACACAGCCCCCGGATTTTCAGYCTGGGCTATTCCCGGTTCGCTCGCCGCTACCAAGGGAATCCTCAATGGTTTCTCTTCCTCCGCTTAGTTATATGCTTAAATTGGGCGGGTGCTCCCGCCCGACCTGAGATCAAAAGGCAAGGCCCGACGTACCTCCACAGCTCGAGGCCAACACCCCCAACCGCAAGCCCACCTCAAGCTGATGGGAGCGAACGGAAGGCGGCGACCACACAAACCGGAGAAACGACCTTACGTGCCGTTTTCAACAAAACTAAGACCACCACCCACAAACGGGTGCTGGAGGGCAACAACAGGGCGGAGCGAAACACACCACTCTAGGCTGCGGCCCCCACAGGCCCGCTCGGAATGCTCTCCAATTCCCTTCCACTTTAGGCTATCGACGCTCTCCAAGTGGGAAGCGATGGAAGCCACGACCACGGACCCCACCACTCTCCGCAACGGAAGGTGCTGAGGTCGTGAGGAATCCAATGATGCTCAGGCGGGCGTGCCCTCGGCAGAAGCCTTGGGCGCCACGTG